TGATGAGCTCGGACACCGGGGGCCCGGACGCCTTGCGCTTGGCGGCAGCAACACCCGTTTTCTTCGCCTTCTTCTTAACAGGTGTTTTCTCTGCAGGTGCGGGAGCAGCAGGAGCGGCTGGCGCGGTCTCCGACATTTTTCCGCTTTGCCAACACAGACCAAAAGTACGTTCAAACTGTCAGAACGGCGTGGCCGGGAGCCCCGCGGCCGCGGCTTTATATAGAGAGCGGCTGAGTGGTGATTGGTCGCCTGCGCCGTGCGCCGCGCTGCTCAGAAGGGCTCCTCCGCTCTGCAGTGTGGCTGTGTTTCTTTCCTCTCGAAAAAGAAGAAAAATGTAAGAAATCCGGCCATGAAATAATTAGAGATTTGGGGGAAATGGATCCAAGAGTCTTCGGGCTTCATTCCTGCCTTATTTGCTATACGTAGTTTCAAAACCAGTACCCTGAAACTTTCCCGATTCCCCCAACTCTCTTTAAGACCTCGGTCACATTGAGACAACTTTCAGATTTTCCTTAAAAATACTATTTCTCTCTCTTTCCTTTGCACGTCTGTCTCCAAGGACATTGTTCTGCACATTCTTTTCTTTGCAGGTTTATATAAATAAGCTCATTTTTACTCAAATATACAAGGAAAGACGCTTTTTTCGTGAGAGCAATAGCACAGCTCTCCTCCAGTTGTTTGCGCGAAGCCTTGGGAATTGGCACTGGGATAGAAAATTCTACGGACAAGATGGATAACTATTTTTTTTTTAATAGATTCATTTTTAAGCATTACAGTGACCTGTGTGTAGACTGTGTTTGATCCCCGTGTTTAGGAAATTTAAACTTTTGAGGAAGGGGGAGGGGGAGCAAGGAAGTTCCATTCCTTTTTCACATAAAAAGTTCTAAATGGCAACCTTCCTAAAATAGTGGTAGAATAGATTTGTCAGACCTGGAACTGGCATTAGAGATCAACTACCAAATCTACAAGGAGGGAAAGTGAATGATGAAGCCTTAGAATGGGACTCCTACCTCATTTTACCAGTTAGGAGCTGAAAAACACAAACTCACGTGTTTAAAACCCATCTCCTTAAAACTGGAAATTACTTAGTGACACCCTGTCCATAAGATATGTTCCCCCCAATACTTAGAATAGAATTTTGTATATATTTCCTGTATTTAAAAATTATATTTAAAGTACAGGTTTTATTTGGCTCTTTTCCAACATTGCCAGTAGGGACACAAGATTAGAAAGAAAAACTTCTCATTTATATCACTCTTTCTGAATTCTCATAATGTTCCCTGGGCTTTTTACTAACAGAATATGAACTAGGCTGTCACAACCTCAATTATTTGGCTAAATGTTTCCACCTAAGAAGTAGAACAAACATTTCTCAGCCAACGTGACCCACTTTACTGCGTTCCTGTTGGTTTGCAACACAACAGAGCTAATGAAATTAGGTAAATGTTGAATAATGAAGCACAAATTTAATGCTATCTTCTAAATAAATTGAGCTCCATGCTTGTTAAGACAAATAAACAAGAACAGTGTTTTGGTGTCCGTTCTCTTCTAACAATACCCCTATTTCCAAAAATTTTGGTGTTCTGGCTGACATTCTATGATGACTTAAGAATTTTTTCAAATAAATCCAAGATAGGATCATCAGTTTTGAAAATGTCATCTCTCTACGCTTAACTAATTCCATAAAAGTCCTTTGGCCTGTTTTTAAATAGTCATTTATTGACGGGCATGGACTGAAACCAGGCCTCTGGGACTCGAATTCATGTTAAAAACCACACACGCATTCTGTGTATAGAGAGAACACTTACAGGATTGGCGCTGTGGCGTGGCGTTCTCCGTAAGCAGCCGTTTCATGTGTGTCTAGAAGGGGCTGTTTGTCATCCTTAGTGGCCCCGGTGTCAACAGCAGTGGTCCCACACGTTGCAAAAGCCCTGTCCCTTTTCAGGGCAGAGGCTAGTACTAACCAGACCTAAAGATAGAGTTAAAACTCGGATTTCTAAAACTTTACGGCGTTGGTCATCATTGTAGTCAAAACATCAGTTTGTTTGTTTGTTTGTTTTAAGATTTTATTTATTTATTTATTTCACAGGCAGAGATCACAAGGAGGCAGAGAGGCAGGCAGAGAGAGAGGAGGAAGCAGGTTCCCCGCTGAGCAGAGAGCCCAACACAGGGTTTGATCCCAGAACCCTGGGATCATGACCTGAGCTGAAGACAGAGGCTTTAACCCACTGAGCCACCCAGGCGCCCCAAAACATCAGTTTTTGAAAAGTCCACAATTCCCCAATTGTTTTCAATTGTTCCCCAAGTTAAGGTAGGTGACAACTCCCACAACAGGTGCCACTGTGCCATTCTTGTACAGCTCTTACTGGCTCCTAGGGCTATTGAGGTTTCAAATAAGTGAGAAGACCTTGGTGCTATTTCCTTCACTGTAGGTGATCTCTGCCCTTCCTGGAGGCCATTAATTGAGACTTGATTGCACCCGAAAAGTTCTTCCCCACATGTTTGTAGAAGGATGGGGTTTAGCTGTGTATACTCAAGGCTATAGCCTGAGACCCAAGTATTTATACTAAGTGTAACATACACAAGATTCTGGAAAGCTGGCTCGTCCCAAGGGACTGTGAACTTGATAGGCTCCACCTATTACTTTGGTTAGCCCACAAAAAAGTAGTGTTCCTTACTTGTGAAGCCTCAGTCTGTATATATCTTAAGATAATTGATTTTGCATTGGACTGAAACTCCTCCCATTTATTTTACAGATATAGAAATGACTGAGAAAAACCACAGTTGGATGAGTGATGGATAGTTCACTCAGGAACTCACGTTCTCCCAATTTTGCTGTCCACCTCCCTCTCATCCCAGTAAACCACGGTGAGAGATCTGGGTAGCACAGGCCAGTCGGCAGCGGCTGTACTTACATGTACCAAAATTCAGTAATTTCAAAAGCTTAAGGAGAAAAGTGACTGTAAATAAATATCAAATATATACCAAAAAGAGTGAAGACAACTTAAGGGCTCTACAGCAGAGAGAGCACTGTGTTAGAATCACACGTGTTTGGGAGGGTCATGAGAAAATGCATCTATTTTAATTTCCCATCAGATGGTCTCATCTGAGAGCACTCTCCCACTTGCAAATCCTCTCCAAGGAGAACTAGATCTCATTTTATTTTCTATGAAGGGCAATACTGACAAACTTCCAAATTCCATTTTGTATATCCTGTATGATCATCTTTGTAAATCTGATATTTGTACATTGATCTTTGCATGTACTAGACCCTAAGTTGTAGAATGAATGAATGAACGAATCGGTGACTCTTCTTTGGTGCATGGGGGATCACTGCATCTTAAGTCTGCAGGTAACTGTAACTAAGCTAAATTTCAAACAGTATCTGACTAAGGGAAATTAATAATCTCCTGACTGCCTATACTATAAGTACCAGCAAAGAAGGATTTTTTTAAAATTACCTTTTATACTACACAGAAGTGAGGTACTTATTATGAATGTACGGAATGAGTAAAGATTGGCATTTGCCTATTAAGCAGATCAATGTATCATCTACATAGAAAACATTAATTCTGTGACTCTTTGCACTTGGACATTATTTCAGCTTATTAGCGTCTATATTATAAATGCTTTTGTTCTGCAAACTTTTACACAGCATAATACATCTTCAATGTCTTGCTGACATAGATCAGTGGTAGGTGGCAAGATCATAAGACCAGAATCAGAAGACCCCCAGCTCTATCCCAACAATACCACTTATTAGAACAGGATTAGGTCTCTAAGCCTGGAGTGCCTCATCTCTACAATGCAAATAGTGCTTTATAAATTGGGGAGCAAAATGTGGAAATTCAATTAACATTTCCTCCCCTTCCTAGAGTTTCCTTTTTATCAGGAATGCTGAAAACCACTAAAGCATATATGTTCTGCCAAAGGGGAATATTCCCTGATCTGCCCAATTTAAGTAAGTGTTGTTAAAATTGTAAGCATTAATACTTGCATTTTTTTTTTAAGTTCACTCCGTTATCCCTCGCTTTTATGGACAGCCGTAGCGTCAATGCCTCCTTTTTTAATATACATGATTTAAAAAGAGGTGAAGAGATTTATACAATATCATTGATCTGAGAAACCCCACAGGCACAGGACTAGTCGCAGAAACCAGCGATTCCAGCCTCTGCAAGGACAGGGGAGTCAGATGCGGTCCCCATTCCCCGCCCCTCCCCTTGCTAAGCCACGGCCCCGCCCAGGAAGGTGGGAGGAGGCGGAGGGGAGGACTCGTTCCCGCCCCCAGCGTTTCAGTTTCCTAAAAGGTCCGCGACAGTGGTATATAAAGGGCTGCAGGCAGCGCTTCAGTACTGCAGTGTGACGGTCACCTGTTACTTACCATGTCTGGTCGTGGCAAGGGCGGGAAGGGCCTGGGCAAGGGGGGCGCC